ATTTGTTCGCGTTTTGGCAAACGTTAGCTTTTTAAGTAAATTCCACTAAACCCGGGCAACATTTATTTACCTGTGCCGAGAGTAACCTAGACTGGGATTCACTAACGTTGGGTAATAGGGCAATGGGCATGGGTCGTCCGGAACTGTTGCCACTACTGCTGCTCAACCCTGATACAGCCGAAACGACAGTCCCAGAGCCACCCACCACCTGTTCACCACCCACATTGTTTTTTTAATTTTAAGCAAAATTTATTTACTTTGAATTGCAGGTGATATTTTTTTTCTTCTTTATTACAAGAAATTAAACAAATTTTTTTTCAGACTTTATAAAAATGGTATTTGAAATCATAAATATTAGAAACATTAACGAAAACTACTTATGAAAAGGAGTTACAGGAAGTATAATCTTAACGGAAACAATAACAAAATTATATACAAATACTTTGATTTCCAATATTATTGAAATGTTTACCTGGAATATTTGGTTATTACTGTAATATTGATTTGGATTAGGCACCATTAGTCCTGACGAAGTTGGCCGATACATCATGCTTGACATATTATCTAGGCAAGTGGTAATAACAAAAATGTTAGTGTTGTATCATTACACTATTGTAGCATAATCATGTAAAGATTCTTAGATTTTGAATGTACTAAATGAAAAGTTTTTACTGTGTAAAACAAGTTTTAAACAAATTATCATTTGACGTAACATGGTCATATTTTGGTAGAGCAGTAAAGAAACAACACAATTATATTGATAATTTATGGAAAATACTAAGTGTTTGTATAAAAATACGTCTGTTTATGTTACCTTGTCGCATATTGGGTGGCACTCCAGTCGGTCTGAGATTTTTCAAGTCTGGGTACCTCGGATGCACAGGTGGCCTTCCTCTACCTCTACCAGTGACCGGCGCGGGCAACAACTTAGGCAGCACAGACTGTTGTCCTTTGACGTTCATCGCCATTGCCAAGGCACTTGGAGATGGTTGAGGACCCATATTCCGTGGTCGATTGAGCCTGGGAATTTTCGCAGGTGGTTCCCAATCCATCGACGGCTCTAGATTCCTCTCGGGTCGAAACTTTTTCTGGCAAGCAAGAATGTGCCGCGTAAGTTTACCCTTCTGATTGTCCTCGAATGGACAGTTTGGGCATTGGTGGAAAGCTGGACTGCGCTCCAATCTTCCCCGCGTGTTGTGTTCTGCTTCCATGTGAAACAGAATGTCATGTGGACTGCGAACCTCCACTGTACAAAAGTTACATTTGTACACATAGTTACGCATATGAGGCGTCTCAAGATGGTGCTGCATGACCAATGCCGACTCAGTTTTGAAATTGCAGAACTCGCACTTTTTGAGCTCGAATCGGAACGGCTCGTTATTTTCTTTGCTGAATTCAAGATTCTTTATAAGGGAGTTAATTGCCATTTGAGTTTCGGCTGTCGTGCCACCTTTGCTGTGTTTGCGTTTCTGAGTGCGCAAAAGATCAGTCTGTACATATTCTTGCACGAGACCAACACCAATGGAGATGAAAAATTTACCAAGGGGTAAATCAAAGTAAGAAGAACTTTTGTTTTTCTCTTCCTCACTCTTTTCTTTTTCTACAAATCTATCTTCTATCTTCTCTTCATCGTCGCTATCGTCTTCATCATCTTTGCCCTCAGCTTTATTTTTTTCCTTTTCTTTCTGCTTTTGAATCTTTTCCTCCTTTTCGAATTCTTTAATGCTGTGATCTAAAAATAAAATTGAAATATAAAAAAATTAACTATAAGTTTAAATTACCAATAGTATGCTCAAGAGAATACATAAAGCTATTTCGCTGTTACCTAATCTGTCAACAAACTCCTTCATGGGCTTAAGCGGTGGCTTTTCGTATACATAAGGTACAATAAACGACGGCGCCTCAACAACAAACATATCATCCGTCAAAGTCGGCAATATTTGCGGCAAAGGTTGTTGCTGCTGTTGCTGTTGATGGTGATGATGCTGCTGAAGTGACTGCTGATGGAGCGGATTCATGACAGGTGTGATCGTCGTAGATTTGTTACTGATGTGAGGCGCCTTCATTGGCACGGGCATTATGGTCGTTCGGGTATTGCCGTACATTTGTTGAGGGCCAACACCGATCGGCATCATTGAGAAGGAACTCGAGCTGGAACTTGACATCCCATGCAAATTTGACGAGGACGATTGGTGTTGATGCTGCTGATGGTGGTGGTGGTGATGATGGTGTGACTTTGAACTGTTTGAGACGGGCACGCCGCCCTTGCCTGACAGAATTGAGTTTGTGTCTATTATGACCAAAGTGGGCTCCTTCTTGCCACCTTTCATATTTTTACTACCAGCTGCTATTTCTACTAGCCGCTTCGTATCGTTTACGACGATTGTGTTTTTGTTTGAAGAAAGGTTCTTCAGTGATGACGAAGCCAACGATGGCGACGACAACGAGCTTTTGAGCTTGGAGTTTTCTTTGTCTTTGCTGTCAACTTCGGCCAGGGGATCTTCTAGTTTGATCTCCTCAATGTCCGAACTGTTGTCGATAGTCATACTGTTGTCGTCTTCTACAGTTGAGAGAAAAAGCATAAAAAAATAAGATTATTTAATAAAATTTGGAATTTCAGAACAAAAACATATCGTGCAGAAATTTNTACATATTTATTTATGTACCTATCAGACAAGTAAAAATAAAAATTGTGCTTTCATACACACACATGTTCTCTTATAGGCACGCAATCTGCCTTTAAAATTCCTAACCTTATATCTGGTGCGAATAGACACAGCGAAAAAGAAAGTGAAAAGATGGTAAGTACATCTTTAATAAACTTTCACGTAAGACTTGCTTTTTTTAACGTAAACATGTACCAGTAATTTTATTTAAAGCACATGGTGAACATAACCTATTTTTTACTTTGTTTTCATTTTACTACTAAGTGCGTATTTTATCTTGATGGCCGTTTGTATACGCTTTTACTCAGAATATAAGCTTACTAGCATTATTCTTAATGTTTATTACAGAAACCGCTTATGTTGCATGGGCATGAGCGTGCCATCACACAAATCAAGTACAACAGAGAAGGAGACTTACTTTTTTCAGCGAGTAAGGATAAGCAACCAAATGTGTGGTATGCCTTGAACGGAGAAAGATTGGGTACCTTTAATGGTCATAATGGTTCAGTTTGGTGCATCGACGTCAATTGGAATACTACACGCTTTATGTCTGGTAGTGGTGACAACTCTCTGAGAATATGGGATTGTCAAACAGGTTTGTACTTTTTTGAGTCGCGTTTTTCACATTATAGTATGATGTACATATTGTATATTTATTGGTTAAGTGTGAATAACTACAAATTTGTAATAATTGATTGATTTGCAGGAAAAGAAATTAGCAAGTTGGAAACAAAAAGTTCTGTGAGAACTTGTGCTTTCAGTTACTCTGGTGATCTTGCTGTTTATGCCACAGATAAAACTCTGGGTAATGTGTGCGAGATGAATATCATTGACATTAGAAGTCCTGAGGCCATCATTTCTCAAAATGATAATATTTGCAAAATCTCATCTGCTGTTAGCAGGATCTCATCTCTACTGTGGGGAGCTTTAGATGAGACAATTATTACTGGTCATGAAAATGGTGAATTGAATATTTGGGATTGCAGAGTAAATATTTGTCAACTTTTTACATGATTCATCTATTTATTTTATCTTACTCTATCAATAAAAATGTTTGTAGACTGGAAAAAAATCGATGGATGCTCAAGGTCATAGTCTTCAAATCAATGACATGCAATTCAACAAAGATAGCACAATGTTTGTAACAGCTTCTAAAGATAATACGGCTAAATTGTTTGACAGCGATACTTTGATGCCTCTCAAGTGCTACAAAACTGAAAGACATGTGAACTCAGCTACGATTTCTCCCATTTTTGATCATGTAAGTTGGCACCTTCTAAGAAAATAAAATAGTCTTGAATATTTTTACTTCAGCTATATACTGATTTTATTGAAAGGTTGTGCTGGGAGGTGGTCAAGATGCTATGGATGTCACAACGACATCCACTAAGCAAGGAAAATTCGACGCTCGTTTCTTCCATCTTGTCTTTGAAGAAGAATTTGCACGCTTAAAGGGTCATTTTGGTCCCATCAACTCCTTAGCATTCCATCCAAATGGACGAAGTTTCTCTTCTGGAGGAGAGGATGGTTATATTCGTATTAACACATTCGATCAAGTTTATTTCGATTTCAATTTTGAATGTTGAAAATTTTATAAAAATAAACACTATTTTTAACATCTTCAATGATGTCCTCTTTATTCCTTTCTTTTCAAGTAGTTTTGTTTTTACAAATTTTCAGTATTTCCTACATTAAGTTTGTGACGTAAAATTCTAAATTACTTTATAATCCATACCACTAGACTTTGGTTATTGGCAGGCTGTAGGAAAAAATTTCTTGTACAATGTTGGTGTACTTTATTTTTGCATTATCTAATTATCATATAATGTACAAATCATTACAGTCAAGTATATACCTGTAATTTTTATATTTTTTCGTGTCCATGAATTACCAACATGATTGTTGATTGGCTAAAAAATTGAATCTGAACAATTTGGTGTAGCCATATGTTACTTTGAAATAAGTACACAAATAACTGACTCAATTTTTAGCGTGAAATACGTTGGTTTGTTGTGGTTTTTAATCAAGGGTCGTTGCTTAACGTAACGTGCAAAAAATTATAACGTTGAATTATTTAAATGAAACCTTTTGTTTGTCTATTAAGGATACTATCTACACTTAAATTTATATGTCCTCTCAAGTATACTATTAATTTAAGGGAAATTCAGAAGGTTCGATTTCTGTTGTCACAAAACTATGTCATTTTTCTAAATAGCTACATTTTTTTCAAGTATACCATTTATGTATACATACATGTTCATCAATGTATATGTATGTACATATATGTAAAAACTTTTAACTAATAAAATGAGTAATTTATATATAGCATTAATAGAAAAAAATGGTTAGACTTGTGAATGCATGTGTCATCCTACTTTTATTGATACATCCGTTTTATATTATACCCTAAATTAATGTACATTTTTTTTCTTTCAAGAGCGCAAAAAAATAAAATTGGATATTTTTAGTTCCAACTTATAGTAATAGGTACACTTTACAGCTTAAATGTATACTTTTTCACTTTTGTTTTATTAACGATTCTGTCATAAATTAATTTGTATACGCCTCAGAATATGGATAATCTCGTTCACCGTAAATTAAGTTTTTAGCACAGGATGAAAGTATCTTTACTAATTACCATCATTTAGAAAAATACGGCGCGATTGAAGTAAATATAATACACGTTGAACCTATCCAAGTAAAAATGATAAATAATTTATGCGCTGCTTATATAATCACGGAATTAATTGTATCGTAACTCGTCTCATAGCTATAGGTAAAGCGATTCGGTTAAAGTAAACGAAGTCATCTAGTAAGAGTAGTCCAAGGTACATTTTTTTTCATTTACTTATACTCTCATTAAAAAATAAAATAAAAACTGGTTTGTCACAAATATTTTTTAAAAATCCATAAAAACCAGATAAAAAAACAACACAAATTACTTTATATTTAGATTTTATTTAGGATAATCTTATTAATACGTTTATATAAATGAAAAATCACTAGTTAAAAAAATATATATACGTATGTATATATCATATACATAGACGGATTGGGGAGACACCATTCCAAAATTGTTGGGGTATATAACACGACTGTTCCCGACGATTTTAAAACAGTGCTTTTTTTACCCAAGCCATGGATGTACAAATTCAACAATTGTTTTAGAGTGAAATAATCGCCAATCGTATTTTACCAATACTAATTGTAAAAAAAAAAAAATTTTGAAAAATATCTTCAGACGACTACGTTTAACCTGAATCTTCGTAAAACGCTACATTATTCTTACAAAGAATATGTATTACGTGGTATGTGACCTCATAAACAGAGTTCGGGTTTGGGGGTGCAATTACCGTCAGACATTGCCATTATACATCATTTTCTAACTTACACACACCAATCATATCTCGCAACATGAAACGCAGTTTCAACAGTGCCTCATGCATACGTCAGATTTCTCCCAGAAAATAGAAAGACACTCGACAATACAATGCTCTTATGAAAGGAATTTACATTAAATAAGTTCCCCTATTATTTTGGAGATACAGTCAGAGTATGACAAGACGCTAATATACCTTATGCGCGTGATTAAATTTTTCTTCATCTTTCATTTTTCAAGTTATGCTTTGTTACTTTTTCTTTGAAAGATTATCGTCGTAGGCGTGTACAGATTTTGGAAAATACGATACGTCGATCGATCGATCGATCAACCAAGGAATCGTACTGAAGGCCACCCTTTTGTTAAGTGTTCTTTTTTTTCACAGTCTATTTTCTTTAATGTGTTTCGATAACAATAATAAAAATTCTTAAATAAATATATCAGTGTGATTATCAATGGAATATTACGCTGTCAACTATTTATGTATTTATACCTCAGCCAGTGCCTTTTTTCAAATAGTATCTCATTCATAAAGCTTTGCATATCTCCAACCTCTAGTAATTATTGTATCAATACACGTATCGCGATATTTAAAACGTTCGTTTAGAGTTGCATTCCTTTCATATAACTACTCTCGTCATTAAAAGCAGAGTTTGCATTGAACATACGTACACATATACACGATCGCTGCTTTCAATACTATACAGAGATCGATATTTTTCTTTTTCTCCTTCATTTCTTAACTAAAGTATACTTGAATACCACGAGTGCTTACACTTGCGTGATGCTTTTTAGTGAGTGGCTGAGAAAGTTTCATTATTTCTGTCTGCAATGGCTTATCATTGCTATTTGCCACGACCCTGGGGCACAGACCTGGATGTTGATTTCGCTGGTTGCGGAATAATGGTGATCTCGTCGTTGATCTTTAAAGGTTTCAGGAGCGAATCGCTGGATCTCGAGGACGGCGGCGAAGGAGCACTGCTCTTCTTGTCTACAACGCGTTTGGCTACGACACTATGCGCGCTGTAAACATGATTTTCAAATTGTTTATACATTCCGAATGTGGCAGTGCAGACGGTACATTTGTAAGATAAATGTGCCGGCTTGAGGGTCATGTTATGATCTCGGGCCACGTGATTTAATAATTTCCATTGATAAACCTAAAACATACATGGTGAAAATTTTGTGACAACTTTATTTGAAACTAAGGTAACAGTTGTGATATTAAACTTAATAATGATACTAACACGTCCACAAGCCGGACAACGACCTGCATCTTTGCCTCTATTGGCAGCTTCTTGCATACTGGAGGTAACCAAGCCGTGAGATCCAAGTAAATGTCTTTCTAAACCCTGTGGCACAATTAAAATGATTTTGGTGGTAACTTCATTGAAATAATGTTTAAACTAAAAAATTTAAATAAATGTTTACCTGATCTGTGAAAAACCGAAATTGACACTTTTGGCAGTTCAATGGCGGTCTATTATAAATCATCTTTGGGTGTATCTTGACTTTATGAATCCACTGCATATGGTTTCTCAGCTGCTCTAAATCCTACCGGAGATTATTGTACGTTAATATATTTATGTTGGATGTTTTGTACTACAAGAACATAAAGTTAAAAATTAAAATTATACTTTAATATAGCCGTCGCAAATTTCACATATAACGAACGTGCTCTTCCCTCCGGTCCTTGCTGGACTGCCTGAACCAGGAGCTGAGGGCTGCGGTGCTGTGCGAGGTAGAGGAGTTATCGATATACTTGGTTGACTCATTAATTTAGCTGTTGGGTTTTTGCCAGCAGAAGTGGTAACCGAAGTATTCTGCAATAAATAAATACGTGGAAAAATTAATAATGCACAAATAATTCCACTCATCGCATATTACACAATTAGTTGTCTTGTCCCACAATGTCTGATGTTAGAAAATATTACGGTAATGTTAAAGTGAAGCTGTAGTGTCAATGTGAGCCTAGTTACTTGATGTTTTTATTAACGTTTTAGTGTTCTGTATGATGCAAAGCTTTGTAAAACATAAAATAATGAATTTTAAAATTTAACATTGTTAAAACATGTGGTACACATTACAAGAATAAATATTTTAATCATTAAAAAAATCACAGAATTTTTTTAAATCTTTTTTTAATGTGAGCTTACATGCATCATGAAGTAGTCTTTCAGAAAATTAGAATGTGATATTTACACTTTGTCAATGGCTATATAAATAACAAAATTTGAGATTTTGGTGCTCATTTAGAAAAATATGAATTTTTCGAAGATAATAGGTAAGGAGTTGCATCGATTGGCTATGTTTTAGGTAGGTAGCACATCCTTTTTTTCACTAACCATGCAATACATGTGTATGTACATAGAAATAAGGTCGTGAAATCCGCAGCCCAGTTATTTGTTCGCGTTTTGGCAAACGTTAGCTTTTTAAGTAAATTCCACTAAACCCGGGCAACATTTATTTACCTGTGCCGAGAGTAACCTAGACTGGGATTCACTAACGTTGGGTAATAGGGCAATGGGCATGGGTCGTCCGGAACTGTTGCCACTACTGCTGCTCAACCCTGATACAGCCGAAACGACAGTCCCAGAGCCACCCACCACCTGTTCACCACCCACATTGTTTTTTTAATTTTAAGCAAAATTTATTTACTTTGAATTGCAGGTGATATTTTTTTTCTTCTTTATTACAAGAAATTAAACAAATTTTTTTTCAGACTTTATAAAAATGGTATTTGAAATCATAAATATTAGAAACATTAACGAAAACTACTTATGAAAAGGAGTTACAGGAAGTATAATCTTAACGGAAACAATAACAAAATTATATACAAATACTTTGATTTCCAATATTATTGAAATGTTTACCTGGAATATTTGGTTATTACTGTAATATTGATTTGGATTAGGCACCATTAGTCCTGACGAAGTTGGCCGATACATCATGCTTGACATATTATCTAGGCAAGTGGTAATAACAAAAATGTTAGTGTTGTATCATTACACTATTGTAGCATAATCATGTAAAGATTCTTAGATTTTGAATGTACTAAATGAAAAGTTTTTACTGTGTAAAACAAGTTTTAAACAAATTATCATTTGACGTAACATGGTCATATTTTGGTAGAGCAGTAAAGAAACAACACAATTATATTGATAATTTATGGAAAATACTAAGTGTTTGTATAAAAATACGTCTGTTTATGTTACCTTGTCGCATATTGGGTGGCACTCCAGTCGGTCTGAGATTTTTCAAGTCTGGGTACCTCGGATGCACAGGTGGCCTTCCTCTACCTCTACCAGTGACCGGCGCGGGCAACAACTTAGGCAGCACAGACTGTTGTCCTTTGACGTTCATCGCCATTGCCAAGGCACTTGGAGATGGTTGAGGACCCATATTCCGTGGTCGATTGAGCCTGGGAATTTTCGCAGGTGGTTCCCAATCCATCGACGGCTCTAGATTCCTCTCGGGTCGAAACTTTTTCTGGCAAGCAAGAATGTGCCGCGTAAGTTTACCCTTCTGATTGTCCTCGAATGGACAGTTTGGGCATTGGTGGAAAGCTGGACTGCGCTCCAATCTTCCCCGCGTGTTGTGTTCTGCTTCCATGTGAAACAGAATGTCATGTGGACTGCGAACCTCCACTGTACAAAAGTTACATTTGTACACATAGTTACGCATATGAGGCGTCTCAAGATGGTGCTGCATGACCAATGCCGACTCAGTTTTGAAATTGCAGAACTCGCACTTTTTGAGCTCGAATCGGAACGGCTCGTTATTTTCTTTGCTGAATTCAAGATTCTTTATAAGGGAGTTAATTGCCATTTGAGTTTCGGCTGTCGTGCCACCTTTGCTGTGTTTGCGTTTCTGAGTGCGCAAAAGATCAGTCTGTACATATTCTTGCACGAGACCAACACCAATGGAGATGAAAAATTTACCAAGGGGTAAATCAAAGTAAGAAGAACTTTTGTTTTTCTCTTCCTCACTCTTTTCTTTTTCTACAAATCTATCTTCTATCTTCTCTTCATCGTCGCTATCGTCTTCATCATCTTTGCCCTCAGCTTTATTTTTTTCCTTTTCTTTCTGCTTTTGAATCTTTTCCTCCTTTTCGAATTCTTTAATGCTGTGATCTAAAAATAAAATTGAAATATAAAAAAATTAACTATAAGTTTAAATTACCAATAGTATGCTCAAGAGAATACATAAAGCTATTTCGCTGTTACCTAATCTGTCAACAAACTCCTTCATGGGCTTAAGCGGTGGCTTTTCGTATACATAAGGTACAATAAACGACGGCGCCTCAACAACAAACATATCATCCGTCAAAGTCGGCAATATTTGCGGCAAAGGTTGTTGCTGCTGTTGCTGTTGATGGTGATGATGCTGCTGAAGTGACTGCTGATGGAGCGGATTCATGACAGGTGTGATCGTCGTAGATTTGTTACTGATGTGAGGCGCCTTCATTGGCACGGGCATTATGGTCGTTCGGGTATTGCCGTACATTTGTTGAGGGCCAACACCGATCGGCATCATTGAGAAGGAACTCGAGCTGGAACTTGACATCCCATGCAAATTTGACGAGGACGATTGGTGTTGATGCTGCTGATGGTGGTGGTGGTGATGATGGTGTGACTTTGAACTGTTTGAGACGGGCACGCCGCCCTTGCCTGACAGAATTGAGTTTGTGTCTATTATGACCAAAGTGGGCTCCTTCTTGCCACCTTTCATATTTTTACTACCAGCTGCTATTTCTACTAGCCGCTTCGTATCGTTTACGACGATTGTGTTTTTGTTTGAAGAAAGGTTCTTCAGTGATGACGAAGCCAACGATGGCGACGACAACGAGCTTTTGAGCTTGGAGTTTTCTTTGTCTTTGCTGTCAACTTCGGCCAGGGGATCTTCTAGTTTGATCTCCTCAATGTCCGAACTGTTGTCGATAGTCATACTGTTGTCGTCTTCTACAGTTGAGAGAAAAAGCATAAAAAAATAAGATTATTTAATAAAATTTGGAATTTCAGAACAAAAACATATCGTGCAGAAATTTAGACTTCAGGCTTTTCATTGAAAAAAAAAAAAAAAAAAAAAAAAAAAAAAAAAAAAAAAAAAAAAAAAAA